GACTCCTGTTGTTGTGGTTACACACTTGAATAGAAAATTGTAAGTAAGACTTTCTTGTAAATATACTTGTATTTCCTGCTTTCAGTCTTGGCTGCAACCCAGAAAAACAGAGATGTATGAGAAAATTAAAAAAAAATATCTTGTTTAGTGAGAAGAAAGGATTACTTCTCTATATCTTAAAAAAAAAAACATCATTATTCTCACATTTTACTTTTTTTTCAAATTGTTATACAGTTCTTTATTGGACGTTAGCTTGTTTTTCTCTCAGGACATGCCTCAGAACAGAAGCAATGAGATTTGGACCACCACAGTACTTAGAAGCCACTGTCCTGAACCAGCCTCCATTTGTGCTAGGTAATGCAGAAACACTTTCAACACGCCTCACACCAAGATTTTGTAATCTAAGGACTAGCAAGGAGTAGTGTAGCCAGCTTTGTTTCAGCTGCTGTTTTAGCCACTCCATAAAGTAGCACCTCTTTGACAGTAATTGCCAAATTTTAATCACTTAATAGTTGTAGAGAAGAACTAGGGTGACAAACCAGTTCTCAGTCTGCGCTGTAAAGGTGAACACACATCTGCAGAGCCATTCCTTGTTTCATGCCACAGAGTATGCACTATACCAGGTGACATTAATGCATGAAGCTTCATAGATAGCCAGATTGATTAAATTCAACTACTACTTTTCTGCTTTAATTTACCCCAAGCAAATTAAGCATGTGGCCAATCATCTTTGATAGAAGTTTTTTTCAATTTGACCATCTAGTAATCTGTGTAAAAGGTGGGCAACTACAATATTTATCAGCACTTAACCTCAGAGTTGAAGAAGATGCAGCATAAACCAAGAAGAGGCAAACAGATCAGTCTCTGTTGAAGATTTATCCAAAAAGACGCTACATGCTGGAAAAAGAAGTCCTGTCAAACATTCTGCAACTTACAGTAATTTTATTTACCATTTTTGATTCAATGATCTGTGTCATCACTCTTAAAGCTTCTTCTGCTGGAGCTATTAATTTTATTGTCTACTTACTAATGGAATTTTATTTAATCATATGTTCAGTCACATTATTTTCCTTTTGGGGATAGGCCTTAAACTATTTCACCTTGGTCTCAGGAAACTAAGTTTGTGCAGATTCATTAATTTAATATCTTGGAGCAGAAACACTTTTTTATCATTTTTATAATTTCTTCTTTTCCTATTAACAGCTTCTGTGTTCCTGCGTATTTCCTATGGCACTCATACCTTCTTGTACTGCATAAATCCTTCTTTTAAATCCTTTACTCTAAATTTATTATATAAAAAAATATAGAAGAGCCCACTAGATATTTCCTTTTTCTGTGTGAGTCTGGTTTTTGCTAAAGTGCTGTAAGAGGAAGCATGAAGTGCCTAATCTTAGTCCCAAATTACACATTATGGAATTCATTATGGGATTTATACGGGAGAAGGTTTTATTACTACATTAATAGGCCTCATTTTCCCTCCAGAAATTCAGTGTTCTTTATTAGAGTTTGAAGAACAAAGTGCACAGAAATTAACATGAACAATGAAAGAACTGCAGCAATAGAGAAAAAAAATATTTTCATCTAAAAATTGAGTACCTTACTTTGCCAAAGGACTGTACTGTTTGAGAAGCAGAGGCCTCAGAGAGTGCAGAGCAGTTAATGAGAAGCAACTTAATACAAATCATCCTTTACAAAATGTTTATAAATATTATTAATTTGAAGCCTAGAAGAACTGTTATGATTATCCTATCTGATACTTGCATATCAAGGGAGCAGATCTTCACCTGGTAATTTCTGCAGCAACTCCATAGTGTTTGTCTGTATTAAAGCCTTTATTAAAAAGACACCCACTCATAACTTTAAAATATTCCTAGTGATAGATAATCTGCCACAACTCACACAATATTAACCAGGTGTTTACTTACTCTCACTGTTAATATTTTCAGTTCTACTCTAGTTCTTTCATCAATCTTTTGATTTGAGGAAAGTTTCTTACCCTTAGTTCTCTTCCCACTATTGTCACCAGACTTGGATATTTCTTATAACTAGATTTCTCCTCCTTCATGAAAATACTGGTAGATGCAATAAAATAATCTCTTCCCCTTGTTTTGCACATATAGATCTCATGTGTCTTATGAGACAGAGGATCACCATTGTGGCTCTTCCAACCCCATCCTTCCTTTTAATTTCTTTCCTACAACATAGATGCACTAATGGGACTCAGAATCACGGCAGGGATGCTACTTATTATATTTGCCGAATACCATTCCCTGTTCCTGCCTAACTTTCTCTAATCTTATTCAATGATATCTTTTTCCTTGTAGCATCATGGTAAAATCATATTCAGGCAGGTCTTTACCCAAGTCTGGAAGGCCTTTCTTACCTTCCAGAACGTTGGCAACATACTGTAAAACTGATCTGTGTTTTTTCTCCCCAGATGTGTGACATTTCATTTGGCAGTATCAAAAGCAATATTTTCAGTGTCACTTAGCCAAATAATTCACATTGATCTGTATTATTTATTTATCCAACCTATTAATAACTTCTCTACTAGTATTTTTGTCTTACTAGCATTTATTTTGTAATTTCATATTGTTGACAGAAGTATTAAATAGTATTTGGCCTAAAAATGCATCACAGGATGATGAATTCCCATATGTAACACAGAGATCTATCAGTAAACAAGTTTTTTTATTTCATTTATAGAGTACTATAGTATGTTAATCATTCATTTCTTCTTGACAGTTTCCATACCTCCATGTACTGTCTACATCACTTTTACCTTCTTTTGTGGCTGAAAAAAAGCTATAAATAACTTCTGTTTGAAAGCCATGAATCTAAAAATAGAGTAGAGTGTAGTTGAATATTTTAAGACACAACACACCTTGTTATTTTGCTAAGTGGGTGTAGACGTGGAACATAAGTCTAAAATGTATTTGAACATTTTCTCAAAACTTCCTGATTTAAAAGAGATCTGAAAGGCCTGAATGATTTGTGAAATATCCAAATGTCTAATCTACTTAACATAAGATTCCAGTTTGTGTCTAGTAACCACTACTTCTACAGTGTCTTCATAGTTATAGTAGAGACAGTATCTATGAAGGAAGGGAGATCCTGCCTAAGTCAGGAGCTAAATTTCTCTCTTGAAACTGGATATCAAGACTAAAAGAGTTTTCTAGGCTCCCTAGGCAAGGAAGGGGAGATGTGTACCTTCAGACCATTTTAGATACCCTACTTCAGATAATAATTTTAGAACGGGATTAATTGTCTTCTGAAAGCAACCATGTCTCTCTGTAGAAGCCTAGACCACTAGGTTGTATCAAACAATTGTTTATGAATGTTGAGATGAATACAGATGTAGGTGCTTAAACTTTGATGCATGACAATTTCTATTAGAGCCTTAGAAAGGATCCTACCTCCTTCCGCTATTACATAGATAGAAAGGTGCTCACAATCTTCACCAAGTACTTCACTAAAATATATGCACAACTGAGACGCCTGCATTAGACAAGACATTTACTTTCATCCGGTATCACTGCAATGTGATTAAATAAATTTCAAGTTTTACATCTACTATTTTTCATCTTGCCAATTGCATTATTTTTTACCATCATTTATTGTTTTCCAGTTTAACCTTTCCACAGTTTTGCCAAAGATCAGTGACTTCTCTCTCATAACTAATCAATATCAGAATGTTTCACTGATTTCTGAAAGATTCTTGAAGTTCCTCAATGTTGCAAGATTTGCAGGCAAGTGAAACAAATTCAATCTCCTCACTTTGATTCCTTTGGCACACAAAGGTGCCAGTCCTGCTGATTTCAGAAAAAGTATTTAAATTTAATTGTTTATGTTTATGTTTATGGTCCTCCCTATCTGCTGGCTCAGTAGAAAGTATTTCCTTAACACTTTATCATAGAAATATAACATCCTGCTTTCCTTCAGGAACAGAACAAAAAATATTTGTTGAACAATTCTATGTAGTGATTACTACTCTTATCTAGTGTCAAACTGGTACAACTGTTGAATTATTGTTTGTTCCTGACACATTTAAGAAATTTACTGGATTTCTCTGGTTGTCTGCTTTTCCAGTGATATTTATTAACATTTTATTAATATCAGCTTAAACGTCTTTTCTTAACCTGTCTAGAATATTTTGAAAACTAGAATACTTTGAGCTGTTGGATCTAAATATCTTTATTGCATTGGTGCAGAAATGGTAATGTGGGGAACCCCTGGTAAATACAGATATAACAGTCAAAGAACAGACAAAACACAGAAGAGACAAAGAAGGAACCTGTCTTGTAACTCCGCTCCATTGCAATTTTGTGTAACACCCCAACTGGATGGGTTCTCTCGTTCTTTTGACATAACTCCTTGTGACTAAGATTGCCTCCCTGTATTTACAGCATCTCAATATTTGTTGCATAACTACAGTTGAACTTTAATTGCAGTTATAAAATATAAGTAGCACAAAAATATCAGCAAAAATATGTCTTGATGCTGAGCCTCCCTTAGTTTCCTCCTGCTGCTTTACACCATCTCTTTCCTGCACTCTTGTATATTACAAACTTGTTGTCATTTTACTTTTCAACTAGGATTTATTTTTTCCTTCCTTCTTCCTTTCATTCTTCCTTTCTTCCTCTTCCTTTCCTTTCCTTTCCTTTCCTTTCCTTTCCTTTCCTTTCCTTTCCTTTCCTTTCCTTTCCTTTCCTTTCCTTTCCTTTCCTTTCCTTTCCTTTCCTTTCCTTTCCTTTCCTTTCCTTTCCTTTCCTTTCCTTTCCTTTCCTTTCCTTTCCTTTCCTTTCCTTTCCTTTCCTTTCCTTTCCTTTCCTTTCCTTTCCTTTCCTTTCCTTTCCTTTCCTTTCCTTTCCTTTCCTTTCCTTTCCTTTCCTTCCCTTCCCTTCCCTTCCCTTCCCTTCCCTTCCCTTCCCTTCCCTTCCCTTCCCTTCCCTTCCCTTTCCTTCCCTTTCCTTCCCTTTCCTTTCCCTTTCTTCTTTCTTTCTTCTTGTGGCCATGGCTGCAATATATCAAAATGTCAGCTTTCTATTCAGAAAACAACCAGAAGTTTGCAAAGTTCCTACTGTTTATTTTTCTTAAAACAGATTTTGCTGTTATAACAAGCTGGCACAATGCTGAGAAATAATGTCAGTCAGCAGTCTGCATTTCAGTTTTTTCCTTTCAGTTTATCACAGCTGCTCACATGTCAATCAAAACCACTTGTTATGAATAGATTTGATGCCTACAGAGATTTACAAATCCAGACCCCATGATGCAATCCAGAGACCCCAGTGGAAGGATATAACATATGGAAGCCAGGTTTTGGTGAACCATAACAGCTCTGCCTACCCCATCCAGATGTTTGCAGGGACACAGATATGTCAGACTCTTCCATATCTCAGCGTATCATATTGTCAAATAGAAAAGTCTATGAGAAAAACTAGTCCCATATGCCTGTAACCTTTCTGAAGCCAGATAATGCCAAGAATACACAGATTTACAGTCCACTTTCAAATTCAAATATGAGTCTGCCATTTATTTACTCTGTAAGACTACATGAGATTCTGACTTGTATATTCCAAATGCAAAAGAAAATGTACATGTATTTTTACAGGACTTACTTATAAACAACTTCTAACCCTCACCTCAAGAGTTGCTTATCCTGCTAACACCCTTACTCCTGTATATATATGATATGACTTTATGGAAACTTTCATATTCAGGGAATCAAAGTGAGAGCAGGGAATGAAGTGTAGGTTCATTACAGAAGAGGAGAATTAGGAGGATTTTCATAGTACTAAAATTTTTAAAAAGACCAGTTCTTTTCTAATTGTCACAGATGTTTTAAGTTTAAAATATAGTAAAAATAAAAAAACTGAGTGAGATTATTATACATCCATGTCTGTGGTGAGCAGCTCACGGGTCCTCCAGTTAATGGAGACAGAGAAACACCTCTAGAAGGGTAATTCTATTTATTCTAACAGGGAAGTTCAAGATTATATTTGCCTCCTGTGAGTACACAAAGAAAGTTTAGGATAACTCATTCAGAAAGATGCATCTATTTACAGGCAGACAAACACATTCAGCTTTAGCTGAGATGAACCTTACCTTTATTTTCCAACTTTCCATTACTTTTATCCTATTTGTTTCCCTCACATTTCTCTTCCATATTCTTGGCTACCCTCTGAATAACCCACATTCCAAAACAATGCCATATATTTGACCTTCAGTCTCTTCTTGGGGTGGTTCCCTTCCATTCCAGAGCTTTCCCCAAAGACATTTTAGTCCTCATATCATTCATTCTTTCTTCAAAGCAGGAGTCAGTTCCACCAAACACATACCTACAGAGGGGAGGAAGACATTACGGAGCAGTCACCCTATTAGCATTGGTTCCTGTTGCGCAGATACTCTTCCTCCCATCTACATCACAACTGTGGTATGAACTGTAAAGTACTGTACAAGGAATTTGTTCTAACAATTGTAAGTGACTAGTATTGCACCATTCTAAATAACAAAGAGGTAGAGAGTTTCTCCATCCAGTTAACAAAAGTCCACATTCTATATCATACTGGCCTCAAAAACATGAAAAAATTGAAACCAATCCCTACATAGAAAGGTCCTTCTAAAATATTAGATAAAGTGCTGTCTGGGTTGCATGCAGGTACAAACTCCCAAGAACACTTACGAAGATGATATCACTGTTTTATTTAATAAGCTTCTTTTTAACTGTTAATTTTGCTGGTTTATTTTATTAGAAAATTGTCCAAAGGAGAGCTGGCAACATGTTAGCTATTATTGCCTCACCTTCTCAGAAAAGTCCTATTTTTCTGCTTATGACTTTCCTGAACTTTACCACACCAGCCAGTATTTTCTATGCTAGGAGTATACATTCAGATGCATGTGGAATGGAGGGAGAGCACAAAGGAAGGAGGTAGGAAAAAGAGAAGTCTCTGCCATCGCTACATATCAATTTCCTTGAATGAAGGTAAGAGAAAAATAAGTTCTTTTTGCCAGGTCAAAATGCTCATACAACTGATTCCTTGATAAAGGTTTGTGCTTCTGTACTTTGAAGCAGTGTTGGGAAGTTTGCAAGAGGAGGAGAGATCAGTATGTCAGGTATATAAACCTGCCATCCCTATAAGAAAATCTCAATGCTGAGTCTTTCTAAAATGTCAATATTCACACACTATTGTTTTTAAAACATGGAAGAAAAAATATTGTAAGGTTCTGTTCTAGTCTGTGTGTGCTGCTGCAGATAGTCTAAGACTTCAGGTAAGAGCAGGGATGGTTCTGCAAACAATATTCAGTCTGCTGATGGTGATGTGAGCCTCTGTAGGGAAGTAGTCTGTGCCTAAATACCTGCCTTTCACCCATCATACACACATTGAAACGCAGGCAATGTGAAGCTTAAGATGAAAAATCGTTGTTAATTAAACATCAATGGAGTGATAGGAGTCGACAAGAGGGTGGTAAATTAGAATCAGATGGAGATTTACTTAAAAAAAATATATATATAAATGTTGCTGCCCACCATGATCTTAAACCCAAGACTAAACAAAAAATATTGAGTTTGGTAGTAATCACATGGAAATCTTTTGATATAGGCACATCTTACTTCTATTACCTCCAGTGAGACCTTATGGTGGTCCTTATATGAAGGGGCCTTATAAGAAAGATGGAGGGAGACTTTTTACCAGGGCCTGAAGTGACAGGAGAAGGGGCAATGGTTTTAAACAGAAAGAGGGTAGATCTAGATTGGATATTATGAAAAATTTTTTCATTATAAGGGTGGTGAGACACTGGAACATCTTGCCCAGAGAAACTGTGGATGCCCCATCATTGGAAATATTCAAGACCAGATTGGACAGGCTTTGAGCAACCTGATCTAGTGATGCTGCCCATGGTGGTGAGGTTAGACTAGATGATCTTTAAAGGTCCCTTCTAACCCAAGCTATTCTATGATTCTATAATTTGATGTCTGGTCCAAATGACAAGCTCCTGGTAGACCTGTTGGTAATGGTAGATTTACCAGATTGACCTGTGTTGCCCACCTATATGTCTCAGAGCTTTCAGTGATCAACAGCACAGTTATGGAATTTCTGTTTCAGGTGCCTATTCTGCCTCAATTTGCTGCTCTGCATATATGTCTGCTGACAGAGTCTTGAATTGTATGATTATTTTCCATTCAGTGTGTGAATCAGCAGGATAAATGAGTCAATATTTTAATTTTCCTCTCAGCATTCATGGTGCAGTTTTAAGCCCCCTTTACTGGGAATCATCCAAACCTTGCACAGAAGATAGAATCAGTCATTACCTTATGAGCATTTCTATGGGAACGCCTATACCATACAATGAAGAGTGGTGTTAAGACTCTTTGGAGAGTGCTACCTGAGCCAGCTCTTGAACCAGAAGTTGTGTTGCCACATCAGCAGGGTGATGCAACTGAACTAATTATCTTCATTGAAGCCAGAGCTAACTAGTATGGGTGCAGTATGGTATCAACATGGCTTTTTTTTTTTTTTTTGATACCTGCATAGCTATCCATGGTATGAATATTTTGGCAATCTCATAGCTAGCTGGAGCAGCTTTTCTCCATACTCTATTGTGACGTAAATATGTCTAATGATTCTTATTACCACAACACCAAGTAAGATATACACATATACAGGGGCAAAGCACTTTCAAGATTGAATCTTGCCACTTCACCATTCTTTTAAACTCATTTTTAGAATCACTGGCCAATTCTTTGCAGTTGCTCCTTCCCACAAATGAACCTAAAAGCACTTCCCTTCAGAAAAATTAAATTAATTTAGAAAGTTTAGACTAAGCTATTCTGGAGACTAAAGAATAAGTTAAAAACATTTTCAGAAATGATCAAGCAAATTTTCAAGATATTAAGCTTCCACTAAAACAAATCTTTGCTTTCTTTATTTTTTTTTTTTTTGCTTATTGTGAGATTAATATACCTCTCAAAAATTTTAGTGATATCATTTCCTTTCTGAAAAAAGTTGAAGTTCTAAGGACTGTGGTGATTAACGCTAGCTTTAACTATCACTACACTATAAGAAAACCATATAGGCAAATATATGAAGATATCAATTATTACAGACAACGTCTGTACTTTAGAATTTAGTATTTATGTGGCAGTGTGACTAACAGATAGATTGTGCCCATGCCATATACTACCAAAACACATTAGAGCTTTTCTATTAGAGACAGAAATTAGTCATGAGCCAGCAGGTTTGAGAAACACAAAGAGGTAAATTACAAAGCAATATGCAAGGATTTAGCTGCATGACTCCCATTAACATCAATGGGATTTAACTGTGTGACTCCCTGTGCACCACTTTGCAAATTTACCCTAAATTGACTAGCGTAGTAATTCCTGGACAGCATGTAGTGGGGAAGTGACTGCTTCTGTAAACACAAAGGATGGTTGATTCTCAAATATCTCTATGCTGCACTCAACAAAGAAACATTTAAAAAAATATTTTATTCCCTACATCACAGGAGGACAGGAAATAAAGACACAAACTCAGAACTGCTCCATAGGGGACTCCAGTTCCAAAAATGTCATTTAGGGAAAATAGAACTCTGTTAATGATCTCTGATACTGTCAGGTTCCTGACCTGCTGAGCCTAAAAAATCTGATCCACTGGTACCACATAGGAACTGAGGCAGCAAATACAGGTAATTCCTTAGTACTAAAGGGGTTCAAAAATGCAAAAGAACATATGATTCAAGTATTCTCTTTAAGATTGTTCAAACTTCTTTTATTCTTTCATTATTAGGTAGCTAAAGGTTTCATTATTAGGTAGCTAAAGCTAGCTCACATTTTATTATCTTTGCATACTAGCTTGAACAGTTGTATTCTTGTCTGAATAAAAGAGTACAGATCTTGACTGTATCATGTATTTCCCAAAGCAGAGCACACAAGTTAAATAAATACAAGAAACACACAGTATGTGGGACAGCAGAATATTAGCATGCAGGTGCTGTTCATTCATGATTTGAAGGGGATGGAGATACTCGATGGAAGCATTTGGAAAAGTGTTAGAAGTCATATTGGAAGCAAAACTTATATCCCTTTGTTCTAACTGAGAAGTTATTTTTAGATTTTCAGATTTACCTTTAGTTTTCTGTTCTATAAAAACAAAACCGTATCTCTCCTTGTTTTTTCATTCACCTCCAGTAACACAGACAAAAGCAGTCTCGCGGCTGTTTCATTCCTCTGGCTTTATGTTTTCCAAGTGTTCAACAGTAGCTGGATTTTTCAGATCTGGCTGTTGGAGAGACCTGTGAAAGGCCTACTGGCATGGTGAGGGCAGTCATACATGTATACGCCTATAGTGTCACAGGAATATGTGTATATTCATCTGTGTAAAATTTAAGTTCTATTGAAGATTGTGGCTTTGCAAATCTGAGGTGGAAGTGACCACAGCATCCATTCAGTTCAGTATGAGCCATGGAAAATAGTTTTCCAAGATACTTCCTGGACCACAGTTTCTCTTAGAAGAAAGTAGTGTTTGAAAGTCAAGGCTGAGTCCTGCAAATTTTTCCATCACCCCTGTATTTGACCCACAGCTCATGCCAAATCACTGTGAAAAAATCCACCCAAATATCATTGGCAACCTGACCATATCAAATTTGTTTGAAATCAGCCCTCTAGTCAAATCTTGGTCCCAGCTAACTCTAGCACACAGGGCTTTTAAAAGCTACCTCTTCAAGAAAGATAGAACTTGAAGACTGAGGAGTCAAGTAGACAGAATTAACTCAGATAGATAGCATGAAAATGCCCTCTTTTGCTCTGAAATTATGGGAAAATAAGTAGATTTTGTTTCATTATTTGAAACAGAGTTTAAAGCTTTTAAAATTACATTTTCAAGCATATGCAATTTTGTTTCCATATGTAGTCTTTAATTTGTTGCTTGGCACCACCCAGGAATTTCAGAAAAAAATCAAGCCAGTACCTACTTTCTCTGAGGAAGTCTGGATCTGAATTTTCGTCTTCAGTATCTGAGTCTTTGCTGTGATACAGAAAGAATATGAAGGAAAGAAAAATGTCTGAGTGAAGGGGATATTCATTGTTTTCATGTGTATTTCTGACCATTCCCTAGGACATAGCAGAGATTTTCAATCACCTTAATCTGATTCCATTTCAAACTTATTCTTCTGGTCACCAGTAAAACCAGTGATTAAGAGCTGAAAGAGAGTAGAAAAGGAGAAAAAAACCCACACTGAATATGAAAAAGAAAATTACTGCTGCATAGTTTGTGGTATTCAAATATTCTTTTCTTTTGACAGAAGAAAGAAGACATTGATGACATCTCCCCATCTTTTAACATATAATTCATCTGATTCATACCAAGGACATGCTTTACACAAAGTGATCCAGATGTGCTCTTCTACTGTATGTGTAAATGTTGTTGCTGCCAATGACCCTACTCCTCAATAGGCAATCTGATAAAAGTCAATTTGAAGATAGTAATGTTCTTGGAGAGGCAGTACTGTAAATAATAAATAGGACTGAATCCAATTGTCCCATTATTTATTTTAAGAGAGTAGTTTCAATTTTCTTCTGAAATGTGGGATTCTTAAGGCCAAACATTCCTGAAGAAAGTATCAGAAGGTTTTTTTATATTTTTTTTTTCTTTCTTTCAGGAGATGTTTTTTTCAGCTACTCATGCAACATCAATATCACTGCCATAAATCTCATTCTATATAAAGCTTGCTGAGCAGTTCTAAACTGTGGCAGGTACTTTTCAGTACCCTTGGTAAGAACCAGCAGAGGCATATGAGGTGAGATGAAGTACCTCACAGAACGATGTTGTAAACCTCTTGCACAAATGCAAGAACAAAGGAAAGCGGAGAAAAACAAAGCTAAGATATTCTGGTTGCATTACTCTTTCTGGTAAATTTTCATTATGTTGCTGCTTATATCGTACCAGTTTCCAAGAGTCCCAGTAAGAATCTGGCCAATCTCTTGGTACAACATTAAGATGGATATGAAGCCAAAAACCCCAAAAGAAGGGGCTTAGAACTGTGTAATAAAATGTATAGATGTAAAAAGCCACAGACACAGATACGTACAAGTTATGTCTAAGCATGCATCATTACTAGCCTGTTGCACATTTTGTAGAGCTCTCCACTCTATAAAATAATTGTTTCAACAGGAAGATCCAATTTCCTCTTAAAACAAATTTTCTAGTCCTTCAATATTCTCAGAGTGAGAATATGGAGTTCAGGTCCACTGAAATGAATGAAAAAAAGCTGATAAATTACAGACTTATATGGCATCAGCTTCCTTCCATGCTCTTCTTTCAGTCTTTTTTGGAGCCTCGGGGAAGATCAGCAGGTATCTATTTCCACCCTGTATTATCTAAGGATTCTCATTTTCATCTTCCCATTTGAGAAGTAAGTAATACTTCTGTATCACTTAGCTCCTCTATTAGCACTGAATCTCCTGAGCCCCTTTAAAGTGGATTCTCAGATTAAAATCAGCTGTCCTCACAGTCTCTTCATTCAAAATGCACTGAAAAGCACTGAGAGGGAACTGTATGTTGGATAATTATCCTGATATCTCAGCACAGTGAAAGGATACACGTATCCCTTTCATGTCTGTGTCATTCAAAGGGGTTAGCAGTTCAAGACTGCTCACTGATTCTGATGCTAAAAGCGAACCTATCCCAGACTTGCTGTTTTTCAAAAAAACTTAAAAAAAAAACCCAAAACTTAGTGTATCTTTATTAGTATAACATCACTGGGAAAATATATAAAAACAAAAACAATTCATCCACCACTCAAAATACAACTCCTGTTGAAAGAATATTCCTTTTTTCCCAAGCATCTTCCTTCCCCAATAAAAACACTCCAGTTGACACTGGAATGACCAGTATAAACCCTACATTCACTTCTGCTGATAAATTGGTGTGATGCAGCATGTGCGTAAGCACATGCACACACGTGTATGGGTATGTGTATACATAATCAGGCACTTCAATGTCACTTTCCATTCTGAAACTTAAGGTGCAAGAATGTATGCTGTGGATATTTAGTTACGCCCAAGGTTTTCCATAAATCCAAGCTGATTTCCATTGTCAGCAAGTCCTTCTACTGTCCTTTGTCTGGCCAGTGATGTGTAGCCAAGTGTATTAATTTTAATGGCAAGCCTCGTTATGACCAGCTTTGTACTTAGAGCCCTCATTCCTGGATTAATGCAGTTACAAAAGACATTCTGCTTTATTTCTTTATTTTTCCTGAGTGTTTCTAGTCTTCATGCAAAGAGCAATTTGGAGGGAAAAACTGAAAATGTGTTTCCAAGAGGTTGAAAAGCATAAATATGAATATCACCTACTTAGCTGAAAGTAGTCTTTGAAATGTTGTAATTAGTTGCTATATCTAAACAATTAGCTTGTTGTATTGATAGTCATTCTTTAGCCATGCTATGATCTATTGAAAACCTGGCCTCTGACTTCTGAACACTTGCAGCTGCAGAATATGTATAAAACCATATGGAAGTCAAATCAATCCAGAACATCTTATGTTTAACTGCAAGCAAGAGGATTCCTGGATTTCAGCTTTTCTCAGCTAATTGATTAAAAAATTCTATACTTGTTTTAAATGTCCCCTCTTCTTTGCTGTGACTTACTATACCTTTCTTGTGTAAGAAATACATTTGTTTAAACCTGGCCATAGAAGAATGACACACTCAAAATTTAGTTTTCTGTACCATCAGACAGGTGCCTTGTTTCTTGTGGTAGAGAACTCACACTGCTTGTTCATAGAGCTGGGTTACAGTTAATGAATACTTTCTCACCACCTGATCAGCAGTAGGTACAAGAGAAACTGGCTCCCTACCAGCTTCCTCATTTTTATTTCCTCCCTCCTTCCCCATTGCCTCCTCACTGTCTATTGTCACAAGGAATTAAGTAAGTTCCAAAAAAACAAGCTCAGCAGTCTCCAGCAGGAACTGAACCCAGTCATGGGCAAGAGCTTGAGCTCCCAGGGATGCACCAATCTGCAACCCTGTTGCAGCAGGAGGATGCTGGGGACCTTACCCTGTACTGATAACAGACAGCCCATCCACTTGACAAATGACTTTGAATATGGTGGTATAAGCATCATCTGACTTATAGAAATATAAACTGAATATGTAGTTAACCCTTTTATGGGCTGGGATTAGCAATAAAGATACATTGAGATATACTCCTAAACATCACTGTTCCTAGATCTCCAGACCAAAGGCTTATTTCTCAGTCAAAGCCATTGGCACCTAGAAACTACATATATTTTTAAAATGTATTTTGGGAAAGCAAGACTGGATTTCTACAGCCAGTCACAAAACAAATATAGTATGATGGAAACCCATCCTTGAGCTGTTTATGTATTATATATGCCTCATTTTTCACAGAATATATCTGCTGTCAAAAATCAAGAGTTCAGTCTATTATAAACCTATTGAAGTATTCTGTCTTTTCCCTAGTAAGACTACCACGAAGTACTGTACACCATGTGTGGCAACTGTTTTGAGACATAGAGACCTGTTGACCAGAAATTCAAGTAAAATATTTCAAATTCACCAATTTATAAATTTCAGATAAGAACAAAAATTAATGATAAAAACAAGTGAACACTATTGTTAATAGATTCAAATCTTCCACCATGGATTTACATATCTTTTTATTATAGCTGTGCCAATTCCTCAACAAGAACTTAGAAATTATCTTTCTTTTCAGTTTCTGGAGTCTTTCAGTAGCATCATGAAAACTCTAAAACAAGGACTTCTGTATCTACTTTATAAAAAGTTATTTGGCAAGTGTCTTTCAGTAGCAGGAAATAACTGTTAGCTGATAGCAGAAAATCAACATGCCTAGTGTTCTGGTCACAAAAATTACTATGGTATTCATCAGGTAGGAGAAAAAGAATTCATTTGTGCTAGTAACTATGCCAAAAACAGTTGATACTGTAAAGTCTGAAGGAGCACACACTGTATGCATAGCTTTTATTTCCCTGGAAAAGTTACAATCAGATAAAATATATTCATTGGCTTTAAATCTCACAGAAAGCTATCCAAGACAGTCATTGTAAATCTATCATTCAGTGATGTCTGTTATATTTTACCGAGACTTTGATTTTCATATCCATATACAGCTTCAGGTGGAGACATTTTGGCTAGCATTAATGTGATAACATTAATAGCCTTCTTGCACCATTTTTGACTGCCTAACAAAATAATTTATTACTTAACTTCAGGAAGTTATAACACAGAGAACAAACTTGTAAGTTACAATCCATTAAAGCTTTGTACAAGTGTTTGGATTTCTCAAATCATGGGCTGAGTATCCAAAGCAAGGAAAAAGACAACAACCTATCTGCTTGAAACAAGAGAACTTTTATCATTAGAATGATGGTGAAACTTCCAGCACTGACATCACAGATCACTGCTGCCTTCATGCATTTCAATCAAAAAAAAAAAAAAAAAAAAAGAGAGCACAATAGGAAGATAAACCAGAAAGTAACTTGCCTGACTGACACCCATAGTAATGAAATGATAAATAATAATTCACCGGGTGTGTTGAAAGATTACTGTAATATTCAGTGCCCTATATGCTACCTTCAGCATAGAAGTGGGCCAAAAATTATGAGGTGCAGTATATTGGTAGCCAAGTATTTATGTCCTGTGCTGTTGATGGAACTTTTGAGCTGCCTCCACTGCTTTGAGACAAGCTTTGACAGATGCAAGCCACAGCTGTACACAGAAGTGCTGCTACTGAGCTTGGAAATTTTTCTAACACAGATTCTGCCAGCTTCAAAAAAACAAGGTTCATTTATGGAGAAACAAAGCCATCTGTGTCATACAGTGTACTGGGGCTGGTCTGTAAAATTTTCTTCCATCAACTACCTCAGTACTCTACAAGTTGTAAACTAGTCTCTAGAAAGACTAACCTCTTTGCCAAGGTTACATCTCTGAGCTTTATGAGAGAAAGAAAGATTCCTTCCATTGTGAACTGTCATGTTTTGCAATTGCTAATTTATGACTCTTCTGGGTATGTTGCCATAATTCTCCCATCCCATATTTGCCTAATTTAGCACTCCTGACTTAAGCAAATGTTCATTCTACTTCCTGTAGTAGTTCTGCCTGAGAAAAGAGGCCTGAGTAGGTCCCAGGAAAAAAAAAAAAAAAAAAATAGCAATAACGTAAA